AGTCCCTTATGGAAATGTCCCATTGTCCTCAGTGATTATGCAGATTATGCAGCCCAGTTTTATAATATGGCCCCAAGAAGTTCAGAATGAAGAGTTGTGCTGTTTACCTTAATTCCTGCCCTTAGGATTGAAGAGGGGAAATGCTGCAGAGAGAAGGATTGAAGGATATTATTTTCTATGGGCAAGAACCTTAAATCAGAAATGGGTGACCTTATTCCCCTTGCGCATAAACATGTTCCAGAGGTGCTTCTGAGATTTAGCTTTTCTTATTTTGCAGGCGGCAGGTACATTGTGATGGGCCACCTCTATCACCGGAGAAGGCAACTGCCTGCGGTTCTGCAGGAGCGTGTAAGGGGCCGCCTGAGGCCAGGAGATGGGCTGCTTTGCAGAGGCAACAGCTACATGAAGAGGTTCAACAGAAGGCGGGATCAAAAGGTTCAAGGGGCAGCTCGGTCCAAGTGTGGATGAGAAGGCAACTCAGCCATCACTTTCTCTGGATCTGAAAGCAGTTTTAGAGTAACAGGTAGATAAAAAAGTGTTCTCTGGTTTTGCTACAGGCCGATAAGACTTTTGGTCTGAGAAATCGCTTGCTTTTGCTATTAAACAAGGAACCGGAGCCTGCTGAAGCCTCTTAATCTTTTCACCCAGTTATCAAGGCATGATATTTACTCCCTGTAATTAATCTCTATTAACTGATCTGCTTGGTCAGATCGAAGTCAACCAGTCACTCATCAAATGCTTTTCCAGGTACCTTTAGGGATTATCTTCTATATACATCATGGTTATCATTAGCTCCTAGCTAATAATTCTATTCCACAACATCAGTACAGATGGTCCTTGCCTTATGACTGTAATTGACATTAGGAATTACAGTCATATGTCATGACAGTCATGAGTCATCAGCTGACTCATTTTTACCTTTTTTTGGAATGATTATTAAGCAAATGCCATAGTCATTAAATGAACCCATTGTCTACTTGGGCCTTTTTTTTTTTTTGCTGGAAACCAGAAGTAAATGCTAATTTCTGGCAAAACTGTTGTAAATCGCAGTCACATGACCACAGGGCACTGCACATAGCTGTATAAATGTGGGCCGGTTGCTGAGCATACAAAACACAGGCATGTGATTGCGGGGGGACGGAGGGTGGGGGACGGACTGATGTTGGAACTTTGAAACCAGGTTGCAAGTCCCTGTTCATAGGAGCATCATCACTTCAAATGGCCACTAAGTGAAGTGTTTCCTGTGGTTCTGCATTCATTTCTAAAGTTTAAATTGTGGCTTTCACAACTGTAAAAAAAAAAAAATAGGAAAATGTGATACAAACTAAATATGTAAAGTGTTAGCAAATGGTTGGCTAGTTTTATTAATGGGTTCATAAATGCTATTGCTAACATAGAAGTAAAGCATTCAAACGTTGTGAGAGATACTTATATAAATGATGTGAATTCAAATGTAAATGCTATCTGACAAGAATGTCAGCGATGTAATAAAAATTGTTAATGCTCCTACAACTAATTACAATATTATTATCAGAATTGTAAAAACTAGGAGGAGGAACACTGAAATGGCTGGAAAAATGCAGACACCAATGACAATGAGCATATGAATTGTGGGCTGGAATAATTTAGCATGAAAGTACTTGCTTTAATAATCTAAAAGACACAGTCATTGGCATTCTCTATCATTAGAGAATCTAATCATTCTCTATCATTTACCCAGCCAGCTGTGCCTGGAATCATTTAGGAGCTTTTAACACAGTACAAGCAAAACCTTAATAAATGCCTCTTCACTTCAGATATTAGGATTTCAAACAGGTTCATGTATTTCTAACAGAAGCAGGAAATATTAAGTCCATATGGTGTTATGTCAGTGCCGAAACTTTTCCAATGAAAAGTTTTCAGTGTCTTCAATGAAAGCTCTTTATTATCACAAAATAAATTTCCTGGAAGCAGCCTGTAAGTAGGAGGAAGAGGGGAAGTAGCTTGTGTCCAATTTATTTTCGCATTCATTTCCTTATTTTGCTTTCTGTATTTAACAGATACATCTACCGGTATGTTTGTGTCTGTGCGAGACTTCCATTACAAGCTTTTTTTTGTAGGAGGAAATCTACAGCACCAGTTTTAAAAAGAGTAGTTGTAATGTTAAAAAATATTCAATTGAAATACTATTAAATTATGCTAACAACCAATGTATGAAGTTTTAAAAATTATTGGATGTCAATCACATGAAAGCTTTGATTCACAGGTTTCACTTGCATGTCACTTTGTTCTTGTCTAGAATTAAAATTGCCTCTCTTTAATGTGAGGAAGCACAGTGTGTTCATTACATGATTGTAAGGTTTTCCCATGGATCCATAAATATGTTCCATAGATAAGAAAGGCTCAGAGTCTAATTTTATATTTCCCAAAACCTATGCTGTGCCATCCATGCGATGCTGAATTTCTAGCAAAAAGGAAGTCAATCCATAGAAATTGGGGATCTCAGCCCAAGGGCTCTGAGACAATTAGTAACGTTTATGTACTGTAGGGCTTAAGAATGTTTTAAAAGCACTTCACAATAATGATCTAATTCAAATGGAGCAATCAGTTTCCTATTGCATACCTAAATCACCTATACAAATACAGCTACTACTTGTGGAAGCTTCTAATTCTCACAACTGAAAGGGAAATTTGTTTAAGCTGCAACCCAAGCCTATATCAACTCTAGTTTACAAAGTGAGAGCTCTGTGCAATTTATCAGTATTATTCTCCTACTGTAGGTTATGTATATGCTTGAAGCTGACAGTGACTTCCTTGCCTCAGTTTCCCCAGTCTCTCCACACAGTCTCTCAATGAATTTTACAAAATTATGTCTGGAAAAAAGTCTATTTAGTACTGGTCTGTAATAGGTAGATAATTTCTCACTGTTCCAGAATCATAGATTGAGAGACTTAGTCTATTAATAAAGGACTGGCAAAAGCAGCCTTTCTACCTGAGGAGAAGAAAAGTTAAGGCCTAGCAAGGAATTGTTTTAGGTCTAGGGAAATGCTGTTCTTTTTCTCAAGTTACAAATGATTCCTTAATATAATACGGTACTGTTTTTCATATTTTTAAAGCATCAGAAATTTAAAAAAAACCTGCCTCAAGTCTTTTATATATGGTATAAATGAGCCACATTTCTTTGTTTTTTCTACCTTTTGAGTCTTGTTAAATGTTTTTAAAAGGAAATGATGGTTTTGTGCATAACAACAGCTATTATTTTCTTTGGCAATGGTAATTCCATGTTTCATTGCATTGAAGTCTACAACATTTATGTATTCACAAATGCTGTATTGGAGTATACACATTTGTATATTAACGTGGGTGAGATTGGAGTATTTAAAAATTAGGAAATAGTTTTCAGTTCAGCTTTAAAAACGTACGGTAGCTAAAAGTAATTCACTTTGGGTGCAGCTTTGCATGGTATTTTTTCACCAGCAGTCCCTTAGGGATCCCCAAGCCCTGGGCGATGACCCCTTACTGGGCCATGACCTGTTTGGAACCGGCCCCATGAGTAGCTAGCTAGTGTACAGGTGTGGGCAGCTCAATTTGCATGAATGGTGGGTTGGTGTGCATACATGCAGCTTGACTTGCACAAGCGGCAGACTGGTTCCCCTTCCCCTCTGCCAGACCACCAAGCCCTAAAGATTGAGGGCTGCTATCTTAAAATTCATTAAAAACTTCATAAAAAAAAACAGCAATGAATCTGCTTCAAGGCAACTGCTGATTTATAATCTCCCTATACTAAGCTACTCCATAAAAATGCTCCTGATCTCTTGCCTAGAGCCATTTCATGAGGATAACTGACTCAGTGGTATCAAAAGCCACATTCCAGCAAATGTAAGAGTTGCAGAACAGTGGAGACCAATTCTGTTCAAAATTCAGACCTGAATCCAGAAAATAGATGCCCTAATTCACGGTTTCCCAACCCCCAGTCTGTGGCATGCCAACAACAGGTCTGCACAAACAAGCGAAGTCCCATTTGTGGGATGTAGGCAGCATGCAAAACCACATCCCTTCTGGTCCACGGAAAAAACATTCTCCATGGAACCAGTCCCTGGTGCCCAGAAGGTTGGGGACCACTGATCTAGGTCACTAGTCTTTTCCAAGGTGGTTTGCTTCACCCACCTCTGCCAATAGTACAGCAATTTGTAAAAATCTTCCAGTCCAAAGTTTGCTTCTTGCCTTAGCTTCTTCTGCTAGTGTAGCCAGCTAAATATATAAACCAGGAATTATTGTTTATTATCCAGGTTTGTTATTTGCAAAAGCAGGTATAAAAGCAATGATACTTTAACGTATGTGATAAGCCAGGATTGCTATTTTAGTCACTGTGTGAAAGAATCCATCCGAGATTTAAATAGAAGGAAAATGAGAGCAAATAGATTGCATATACTACCATGTGGTTTGTTCACAAAAGGATTCTAGAAACTGAAGCAAATATTATTTTCTGTTAAAATAAGTAGCAATCATTAATAAAACATTGGAAAACATTTATTTCAACAAAGCTAGTATGTGCATTTGTGTGTTTCTGAGAGAAAATTATAGTGAATAAAACTATCATGTATCTAAAAGCATGTCACACATTAAGTAATTCACCTGGATAAAATGCTTTCCAATTTAATGGTTTTAATTTAATCAAAAATTAAAATAAAGGGTTAATCATATGTCCAGTTCAGGCATCCAGAGCAGCAATTCAGAGAGCTTTCTTACCTTATCCAGTTTAAACTGAGCATTTTGCCAATAGTGGTACAAATATTTTGCAGCTGTTCAAGACAGTACAATTCCAGCTTACGTCTCATTACAAAAACAAAGCAGTAAATGAGTGTTTGGAAGTTTGTAGCTGTAACACCAAATATTTCCATTTGATTGAGGAACTGTGAATAAAAATTGAGCTCATTTGGTCTGTGACACTTGATACCCAGTGAGTGATTTTAGTGAGGCATGAAGTGATCAGAAAAAAAAAGTATTCTGCACATTGTTTCATTTAAAAACTGAGTAAAGTATAATTTCTTTATTCCTTTTACAGAAGTGGTATTTAAAATGTACACACATTACACTGGCTCATAAATAAAGTTTTTCAAAAAACTAAAAATTACCATAGTTGGTACAGCTAAGAATTGTCTTCATATATTACAAAGCAGTAGGAAAAATGATGAGGCTTGGTAAAAAGTGTATGAAAGTAGCATTTTCCTCATTCATAATTAATATGAAAAACTTCAAAGAATTTCTGCACAGTATGGCAATGCCAAGCGCTACATATTTTATTCTAAACAAATGATGTTTCATTAGGAACTCCACCAAATCTGAGGTCCAACATTATTTTATTTGTCTAAGATGAAATGTCCTATTATGTACAAAAAGAGTTACTTTTCAGTTTGTCACAATCTGTTAAAAACAATGATCTATTGCCTATAAGTAGGAAAGTTCTCATCATGGTTTTTCAAGGTCAGCCATAAGTATGAGTAATAAAGAAATATGATGAAGAGGCAGTATTTGTAGGATTAAATTTGGAAAAGTCCTTCTTTTATAAACATAATGCATACAATATGTAGCATCTCTTTGAAAAAAGTCCTAAGACAATATACCCTAGCACACAAATACTCTTCTTCCTACTGTCTAAGAAACATAAATGGATGGTCTCACACTGAACATTAACTTCCTTTCGAATTCATATGGATTAAATGATAGCATCTATGTACAAAAGCAGAAGCTTTCTTAGAGAAAATTAACCTTATATTATCTGTACACCTGAGCCTGTACTTATAAGAAAAGTGTGAACGGTAGCAATGTCTAATAAAATTAACAGAAAAGATTTTTGCATAGCAGGGTGAGGTTAAACCCAAGGGAAGTTTATCCATAATCAGATAAATTCCAGATCATCGAAGGGCAAAAATTCTGAATTAGTGCAAAATCTAGTTAAAATAGGTGTAATAGTCAGAAACCAACTGCTGCTGAAGAAGAATTTTATTATAGTCGATTAAAAACAAATAGAATCACACGTTTAGGGCCACTTTGTCCCTGCTTTCCCTTTCCCGCATTTCCCTTCTGTACTCTGAGGATCTTACACATAAGAACAAACCTCACAAACATGTTAGTGAACATTCAAACGACACCTACATATGTGGAGAGAACAATGATCTCCATTTATTTGTTTCATATACATCCATGTTTTGATTTTTTTTTTTAATACAAAAAGAAAAAAAGTTAGAATCTGACAAATGTTTACAAACAAGATACCTTCAAATAGATTTTACTCAGATCAGTCCGTTGCAGAGTAAATGATATTCTACTTTTTATATTCAAGGCAACAAAGTCTGTAGTCCATGACCACTTCGCCCAACTTTAATGCAAGCTTAATTGGTTTCCTCTACCGTGAACGATAAACTCAATGTTGATTCCCAGTTGGTTTGTGCACATGTGTACATAGCAGCTCCTTTCATAGAAAGAAAAGACATCTAGAGGTCATCTTGTACTTTTACCTACAGGAATCATGGTAAGATACAGAATGGGTAACATACAACCAGGGCTGGATTTATAAGGCGGGGGGCGGGGGGGGAGGAATAATCAGCTGACAAATGAGGGCAGCAATAAAAAAAGCGTCCTTTTGCAACAATAAATAAATACAGTCTAAAGTTCTCTGTGTGGAATTTATAAACCAGCTTCTTCACTGAAGAACAGATGTGGCATTTCCATGGAGTTAGAACTTGACCCCATTTTATGGTTATCTTGTTTTCTCTTGCTTGTTTTCTTTCCTGTCCTTCAGCAAAATGTTTTCCTGTTTCTGCCACAACAGCACAATTTGATCTTGACAAGAAAACGATTCTGCCGATTTTCATTCTTTCGTCCTTTGGACAAAATTAGCCAATAATATAAATCTGATGTGACTGATAAAAACACAGTTTACATCAAGACTTGTCAGGACACCCTGACTAAAAACCTCTGGCTCCCCAATTAAAAAAATTTAGGCAACCAGATTCTTGTGGTTTGTGGTACAATAACACGTAGAACTTTAAGAAGCTGTCGACTGTAGTTTGTTGTTATGAGACCTGCAGGATGCAGAAAAGGGAACAAGTAATCAAAACCTTCATCAAAGCAGGCGCCCAAATCCAACTACTTGGTGGGGAGTGCACACAATTTGCTGCTCTCTTTTCCAACTTTTATAAACCAACAACAGTTACAAAGCAAGACTTTTTCCACCTTCACAGAGGCAGATCTGAACTTACACCATATGCAGCTCTAGCATCTGAAAACATCCCGTAACACTCTGAGGCAAGCACAGATAAAGAGCAGCCATGCAAATCACTTTGTTTTGGGAAGAGGATAACGTTTATTGTTAGTGGAAGAGCACTTATGGTAATTGATCATTCTCTTTCAGAAATGTTTGCTTTGAGGACACAACTGGTAACACCTTGGGCTTTATTATTATTATCGGACTTTGTTTTGATACAGTATTAAATGACTGACCATCTTCTACCACGGTTGTTAGCAAGTGACTGCTTCTGCATCAATACATTTTTTAAAAAGAAAAGGTAAGCTATGACAGGTTATAGTCATTCCATTCTGAGTCTCGCTAGAAGTTCAACTAAAGCTATCAGTTATCTGCAAACAAAGAATGCAGCAGACATAATGTGGAAGTTGCAGCCAAGCAATCTAATGTTGACAAGAAAGCAAATACGAAAAAGGAAAAAGTGATAAACTACTGTCAGCTCAGCTGCAACCTGAAATAATTTATTTGACAGAGGAAACTTAAGAAGCATGGTCAGATATTACAGCAACACGTGTGTGTGTGTGTGTGTGTGTGTGTGTGTGTGTGTGCTGCTTTGCTAGCAGATATTCCCAATCTTTTAGTAAAACAACTCTGCCTCCAATCCCTTATAACCACTGTGTGGTAGTAAATGTCATTGAAATTGACCTTCCTTCGCTAGGAATGTGTCTCAAACAGACCTGGACATTTTATGGCCTGTAGGCCACATCTCACCCTTTGGTTGTCCATGTCTGGCCCGTGTGAAATTAATTGGAAATTAGAAATCAAATGTAAATAAATGTATGCTAGGCATGCAATACAAACCGTATTGCTTTTGTTTTGAAGGATGCTGGTTTCTGCACCCACCCACCCATTTCTGTGTGGGCCCACCCACCTTTACAGCCTTGTTGATTCAGCCCTCCAAAACAGTCCCAGTTTCTCATGTGACCCCTTGGGAGAGTTAATTGCCCACCCTGGTCTATAATTTGATCACTTAGAAGAACCAAAGGACAGGATTAAGTTCAAAGCAAATACTTGAACACCACTTATAATATTTAAACAGATATTTAGGCATATCACCAATATGAATGGATTAAAAAAAATAACTATATCAATCTTTAAATGTACTTCTGCCTTGCTTCTAATTTAGATTGCATTTTTTTTAACTGGGGCATGAGTATTATTGAATCAACAAGCTTAGGGCTGCATTTCTCAGATCTGCTAGAAATATTTGGAGACTAAGGCATTAAACAGATTTAGATGCTCACTATTTCAAAATTCAGCTTCATTCTATATGCTTTATTTTCCTCTTACTATACTTTATCCAGTTTGTTATTTAAACAAAAAGACCTGATTTCACAAAATTGTATTTTATTTGGATTAATTAGTAGTTATTTGCCTCACTCTAGTATATGGAGAGAATTAGACATGCTGCAAAAAAATAGAAATGTTCTAGTGGTAAAGTGTATTTCATACCAACAAAAAAAACCACATTACATGAAAAAGCTACATACCTGCTTGCTTTGAATCCTTTTAATTTCTGTACAAAGAATGACTCAAGAACCTCTGCACACTGATAAAAAGGAGAGTCACTTGGATTGTAGTAACGACAATTATCAAATATTTTGGTCATGTCTGCTACAAATTCTGTCACCTTTTTGTAATAACGCTTCAGTATTCTTTCCTCCATGGTGGAAAGATCTTCAAAACAAAAAAAGATTATTCAAAAACAAAGCTCAGAAACTTGCAGCATAACAGTCCAAACCCGCGGAAGTAAGTCAGAAAAAAACCCTGACATTTGACTAGAATGCCAGTCATGTATACAGAATATGTATTTAGGGCATTATGTGAAAACGTTGAGCAGGCAGCAAGAAATGCTCCTTATCAAAGATTACCAGATCAAAGACAAGACAGGTTACAAAGATGTACTTTTGAAAATGCCGTTTGAAGAGCACACACTGAAACTTATACAGATGCATCTCCACTGGAGACCGGTTGGCTTTTATACTCGGAACTCTCTGGTTCGGGGTTTCCTTGTTGTTTAATTACCCCCAAGTAATTAGTGCATATAAACATGCTTAATTTCTCTTGAGCACTCATTATTTCAATTCAGAGCCTTGTCTGAACCTTTCAATTAGTTGCAGCACAAAGAACACACTGTGATCAAAGACCCCAGTTGGTAACTACCAGTCACAGAAATAGGCGAGCTTGTTGTTGTTTCTTGACTTTGAAACATTTTGTGCACTTCTCATTAAAGAGTGGGGAAAATAGAACGGTATCTAAAAATGTATGGCATCAGTAGCACTAACACACCCTTATACTCACAAATCTATTTGAACCCCAGATGTTATAGCACTGCTAAAAATAAGGACAAGCAGACTTGATAATCTAGTTAGAAAACCCTCATAATGGTTTACCTAGGAATATATAGGGTACTGATTAAAACACTGTAACCCAAGAAAGAAAAGGCTGGAAGCAGGCTGCAAATTTTGTTTGTATTTATTTATTTGTAGGAAAAAGGGAAATGGACAATGAAAGATCTCCCTGGAGTATCACTGTGAGATTCCCTCGTTGTAAAGATTTATTGTGCACTTGAGCATTTAAATTCTGTCTTCATGCACCAGATTTTTCTCACTGGCTGACCACAATTGACGTTTAATTATTTCAGCTTTCACTCTGGATGTAACTAAATAACGCAGTTTGCTAATTTCCATTTGACTGTTGATACCCAGAATTGAAGCTGTTTATGGGAAATAATGGAAAAATACAAAAATTTATTTTGGCTACAGATGGGGAGCAATATTCTCACCACAATTTAAAATAGAGGCAGAAACAGGAATTTTCATCTTTGGCTTAACTGAGAATATGAAAGATGCATTTCTAGACAATGGAAAAAAGAATTCTAGATCCTCGACAGCAGTCTAGAATCCAAAAAATTGTCAGCCCATCAATTTACAAACTAATTACTTTATTGTTCTTTTAGCTTCTCACCCATCCTAAAAGAAGTATCCTATTCCACTGAATAAGAGAATTGCTTCTAGTACTTGTCAGTGAAGAACTATGAACTACCTTATTAAAAGAAATCTCATGATATATAATTTCAAGCAGTAACTTCAGCAACTTCAAAAAAAAAAAGTATTATTGTCAGATCTGTAAAAACAGATAAATCTAATGGTAAGTTAAACAACAATTGGAGAATTGAGAATGAGCTAAATACAAGGTTTATAGCCTTTAAGCCAGGAAGAAGAAAAAGAAAAACTGAGAGAGAAAAGGAGAGGAAAGGGGTTAGAGTAATAGGGAAAAAATATTACAGAAAGAGATAAGCAACGGGAATATCAGAATAAGCAGGATAGCAAAATAAAGGAATCATACAAGCATACAGATCCTTAAAAAAACACCAAAGTCTTAATTGCAGTTTTCAGAGCAGATTTAAGAATACAGATTGAATAGGATGTATAAATGTATATATATTGTCACAGTATTGTTCAATTAGTTATGGTATTATGTATAAACGGAAAAACACAATAAAATGTTGGGGGGAAAAAAAGAATACAGCCTAAATGAGATTTCAAAAACTGAGAAAAGAAGCAAGAGCCGCTTAAGAGAGACTTCATATTAGCACAAAGATTACAATTTGAAAAGGACAGACTGAAGACATCTATGAAATGTGAACCAGAAATAAGAATATGAAATTTGAAGAAACATGATCAGAATGAATACAACAAAGCATGAACCGGCGTCAGGAAGAAATGAAAATATGGCAAATGACCTATTGACAAACAAACAAAATGAAAAACACAATAGATGATCTGTACAAAATACTAAATATTTTGATTACAAGAAATGCTACAGAAAGACTGAATCCTACATTGCATTTAATGTGATGTAATATGCAAACCAAGACCAAAGCAAAACTGTGCCTCTTCATAAAGACCATGATTATGTGAAGAAATAAACAAATGATTGATATTGTTAAAATTGAAGGAGAAATCGGACTACATATATAGACTAAAGCTCCTCAGAATAAATATGTGTATTTCCACTGATCAATTGTTGGAGCAGATCTAGTTGTGATGTTATGAAAACAGAAAGAAAATAGAAAAAATTGAAAATTTCAATCAGCGCAATTAAAAGTTTGATCCTTAGGAAAGCCACAAATGATTCAAGAATTTTGTCAACAAGGAAAAAGGGAGAACAATAAAGTCCAATAGTGAATAAAATTAAGAATAAAAACACCACACTAATGGAGCAAATAATACAAACTGAAATCTGTCCAGAAAGATATAGCAGAAAATAGAAAAATGGTAATAGTGATGGACATAACTATTCAGCAAAAAATAAATTATATAGAGCTCTCATATGATCTCATACAAGGATACCAAAACCTAATCCAAAATTTGAAATCTTATAAGAATTTGCCGTTTGGAGATTAAAAAAAAATGTTTTTTTTAAAGAAATCTTACTAGGTACTTTGGCACAAGATACTGTAAAAAAAGAAAAAAAAGAGCCGCATTGGCACAGTGGTTAGAATGCAGCACTGCAGGCTACCTCTGCTGCCTGCCAGCTGCCTGCAATTTGGCAGTTCAAATCCCACCAGACTCAAGGTTGACTCAGCCTTCCATCCTTCCGAGGTTGGTAAAATTGAGGACACAGTTTATTGGGGGAAATAGGATGACTCTGTAAACCGTTCAGAGGGTCATAAAGCACTGTGAAGCAGTATATAAGTCCAAGTGCTATTTCTATGCAGAAGAATATTATGAGCAGTGCCCCTAAACCATTTAAGAGAGAGAAGTAGGGTTAACATCTGGTTTTATTGTATGAAATGTGATTCTGAATTTGGAAGGAAACTTGGGAAATGAAAATTGATTAATAATCATGTCTTGGGAAGATGGTTCTCTGACTGAAAACTGTGACTCAACAGGTTTTCAGTGAATATTTAAAAGATCATTTTACTTCACTTAAACTGCCAGTTTCTGAAGCAGTTATTGGAAATCTTGTTCCTGGCTGCCCCTTTTCTTTCAGTTTTTAATGAGGCCCCCAAAAGATGGAATGCTTTCTCTGGTGAGGTGATGGTTCTTACATTTCAGGCCAAGAGAGAATTTTTTTTTGCTGCCAAGGATGGATTGACAGCTTAATCTGCCCTGATACACTTACATGTGTGGTGCACCCCCAGTAAGCTCTGTATAACTGAGATTATTAAGGTAATTATCTCCCCACTTTCCTGCCTTCCGTGCTACAGCTGCTGACCCTTTCCTGCAAGGCCTTCCCACCAAAATTGGAAGAAGAACTTTAAAAAACCTACTATGGGTCTATGGATATTCTCAATTGTCCAGGTCAGTTGTGGTATTCAGCCGGTTCGCACCGGTTAAGGTGAACTGGTAGCAAGGATTTGGCATGGATCACCAAACCGGTAGTAAGTTCTGGCTGGCCACGCCCTTGACCCGCCCGCCACTGGCTCTCTTGCCCTGCCTGGCTGATGCTCACTCACCCCGCCTGCCTGACACTCGCCCCCTAAGGTATTTTTTCCTTTGAAGATGTTTCACTTCTCATCCAAGAAGCTTCTTGAATGAGAGGCGAAATGTCTTCAAGAGAAAAAACACAGTCCAGTTGCCTTTTGAAAAACCACTTTTGGGACTGCCAAAAGCTGCAGCTGTGACTGAAAATTAGGCAGGAGGGAGCAGTCCAATAATCAGAGGCATTTGTGATGGTCTTTGTGCAGCCTGCAGCCTGCTCACTACCCCTTAACCAAAGGCTACAGATACTCTTATTTTAACTATGCATGCAATACAGAATTTACAGAATATTTTTTTTAAAAAAATCAAAAAGATACACAGTATACTGTTAAATGAATCTCACTGAAATTAACCAACAGCAAATGTATTAAAAAAAACCTAAACTTTGGTGAAGCATCACTTAAGTAGCAACAGAACTGAATGTACCACCCACTGCACGATCCTTATCCTTGTGAACATTTTCTGGGCGTTCTCATTTAGCAATATCACAAGAAT